CAACAGAGGGTTTCATCGTTTTATTAAGTCAACCTCTTTTGAGATTTGAGGTGTCATTGATAAAAAAAAAGACTTTTAATGTGTATATGTAGTGATTTGATATGTGTATACATGTTGAAAAGATTTCCCCCACCTCATTAAGACATCCTCCTCAATTAAAAGATAAATATATTTATCTATCTTTTTTATGAAAACATTTAAATTCTACTCCGCTAACAAGTATCCATTATACAATACAGTGTTATCAGCTAGAGTCACTATGTTTTACATTAGATCCTCACACTTTATTCATCTCGTAGCTGAAAGTTTATACCCTTTTACCAACCTCTCACTGTGTCTCCCATCCCAAACTTTGGTAACCACTTTTCTATTCAGTTTCTATTTCTATGAGTTTGACTTACTTTTTTTTTTTTTAGATTCCACATATAAGTGTATTTGTCTTTCTTGATCTGGCTAATTTCACTCAGCTAATGCTTTCAAGGTCCATCCATGTTGCTGCCAATAGCAGGATGTCCTTCTTTCTAATGGCTGAATAATATTTCACTGTAGCATATATACACATCTTTTTATCCACTCATTCCTTGACGGATACTTCGGCTGTTGCCATGGCTTGGCTCTTATGTATAATGCTGCAATGAACACGGGGGTGCAAGTATCTCCTCAATACTCTATCTTCATTTCCTTTGGATATGTACCCAGAGTTGGGATTGTTGGATTATATGTAGTTCTGTTTAGGCCAACTATTTCTGGGTGCTGTGGCGCATGGTAAAACCAGTGAAACCAGCTGGCCTCAGTCCCCTGTTTTACTTCTACTGGAGTAATGTGAGTCCCCTTCATGGAGGCCATGTTATGTGACATACAGTGGTGGCACATAAGGTATTCAACAAACCTATGGATAGTTAGGCTAGCAGAGGTGTGGGGGGCAGGAAACCAAATCCAATCCAGAGGGAGAATCTATTTCTAGTAAAGAAAAAAAAAATCACTGCCCATTACGTAATAGAAGGGATCCAATGTGATCCGCCTGTCTCAAGGCGTCTGGATGCTACCTGTAGGTCATGATACCATTTCAGGGACCCAGGGCTGGAGGCTGTTGCTGGCAAATTGGGTACTCACGCAGCAGTGATCATCAGTAGCCCGTATTATGGAGCCCTACATGTCTTTCATCCCTGCCCCCATGGCCAGGACACATGGGCCCATCAATCAAGCACAGGATGATGGGAAATGTCTTACAGACCTAATTATTTAGCACCTCTTCTATGAAAAAGAGAAACTTTCAGTGAATATTCACATGCAAGAGAGATGTTATCAAAAGCTATTTTATGTCAATTCACCTACTTCTTTCCCAAATTTCCTTGTTGTCAATCCTGCAAACCTGCTCCTTCCAAGACCCTGACCAGCCAGCTCAACAGCAGCCTTTGCCAGGTATCAGCATAGATCCTTTCCACAGCCTCCCTTTCCTTCTGGGCAAATGGAACGACTTTCAGGCCAAGGGGACAATCAGTTCTGCTGCTCAAAGTTCTGCCCACTAGGAAGACTTCCCTTGCCTACCATCCTAGTCATCACTTATGAGTGGAGCTAGAAAGCTGCAGCAGTCCCCTCACTCTGAAGAGAGGAATACTGTCTTCTTTTCCTCAGATCATTGATGCTTCTGGATGAGCTGCAGGCTTCTCGCTACCAGGATAAGGATGAAGTCAATACAGAGGACGGCAGAAGAGGGACACAGGAAAAACCTGGGTTCCCCAATGACATCACTGAGCCAACCACAAACTTGACCCATATTTGAACTTCCGATTATGCAAGATAATTACTTGCCTGATAGTTTGAACTGCTTTGCATTAGCGTTTCTGTTTCTAGTAGCAAAATGCCTCCTAACTAATACAGTTGTCCATCCTGTCTCATAACGAAGGATAACGCAATGTGTACCATTTGATCACATAGTCCAAATTCAATGCTAGCAATAGAAAATGCCTTAAATTTGAACACAACACAGATATAACTATATTACAGAGATGCATGTTAAGCATTTGTTGAACGAATGAATGAGCAAATAGGTAAATAAATGTTTTCAACAGCTATTGCTTTAAGCACATATCTCTGTTCCTTACTGTGTTAGTTAGGGATTAGTTGTAGATAACTAGAACTCATTCTAGTTAATTCAAGCAAAAACGAATTAAATACAGGGAAACAGGTGAGTAGGAAAGGCTGGAGGAGCAGGATCTCAGCTGGGTCTGGTTGGGGGGGAAATATTTTCCTCTACCCATCAAGGTTCTTCTAAGTGGGCCTAAAAATTAAATTGGCGTGAGACAGATGAACCAGAGAAGGTCAAATTGAATTACGTAGAAGGGGGAGTCCAAAGACAGTGGGGCACAAGGAGGCCTGGCTGTCACCCCGGGCTAAGGAGAAGGCGGCGGGGCCTGGCCCTTCACAGGGAAGGAAGGCAATTCACCAGAAGATGAGAAAGAGAAAGAGTAAAGGTCTGATGAGCAAGTGCTCGTGGGGCCACACGGCAACAACGGGACCTGTGTACAAGAGGAATTTCAGCACTTTGCTGGGCTCCTCCCTGTCTACCACCCCAGTGCTTCCTGTAATGGAGTCTTCTAGAGCAACAGCTCTCTTGCAGGGGCAGGTCCTCTAGCTAAACTCTTTTCAGGCACTCGGGGAAGGTCAAAGGTTCTTTCTGAATATTCTGGGCCTTCCTGTTTTCAGCTCCTAAATAATCTGCATGCCAAAGTGGCACATTTCAGGGTGGCCTGCCCTTGGCCACTCTGTGACTTCCTAGATCACCCCGTTTGGTCACAGCAGCTGGAGGGACTAAGGGAGGGGGGCAAGGGCGCTGCCAGGAGGCGGACACTTGGAGAGGGTCTCCACGTCCAAGCGATGTCGCTCAGAAGCTTGGGGAGTGGCTTGTGCTCTTAGAAGCACAAGGTAGCACCTGACCTCATTGTGGCTGGCGTGGGGTGAGGTTCGCTGGGGTACCCAGAGCAGGCAGGCTCTAGGTGGCCAAACGTCTGCTAGTCTGTTTGGAACACTTAGACGTGGGAGAACGTGAGGTGGGTGCCGACGGGTTTCTGATACAATGGGATTGAGCCTGCAGTGAAGCAGCCAATGACTCCCAGACCCACGAGCACAGATCAGCTTGGGCCCATTTGGATACCATCACACGGACACTGCCTTTTCCATTCCTCAAAGTCCATCTCTACCTGGAGCCTGCCTCTCTTTCTCAAGTGGTCTTCCTTTACCCGGGGGCTCTGCCAGTCACAGACCATCAGGAGCCTTGCCCTGTTTCTGACACACCAGGTTACGACAGACAGACAGATTGGGCGCGACTGTCCGGAGCACCACGATGACTACAGGGATGACGTCCTTAATGGGGACTCTTCCAGCGCTGCCAGAAAGGAACACCCGTGGGAGCCCAGAGAACCCAGGTCTCCCCGTGTGCAGCCAGGGAGGGAAGCTGGCTGTCACAAGGGTTACTTGTGGTTCCTCTAGAAAGGCTGTTTTGGCCCCATGGCCCCCGTGCCCTGGTTAGCCTCTAAGGGCACACCTGCCAGCACAACCCCCAACCCCAGCCTCAGACACCTACAGATTGAGATGCCACCACACAAGAAAGACTCTCCATCACTGCTTGTCCCTGCAGCTTGCCAGGGGCTTTGGGGCAGACGCAGGCCCCCTCTCTGGGGACAAGGCTGTAGGTGTGAATCTGGCTCTGCTACGGGTCCAGGGTGGAACCTGGGCCCTAGACTCCACCTTTTGTGGCCTAGGCCGAGCCTTTGCGGCCTTCCCTGGGACCTGCCTGAGGGCCAGTGGGGCAGAGTAAATGGTGCAGACCCCCGTAGCACTTGGCACAGCTGCTGTGACCCAGATGCCTTTGTCCCCTCTGCTCCCACTGTCACCGTTATGGTGCAGAGCCCTTTGCAAGGACCCTGACCCCCAGCTCTGAAGACGCAGAACTTTGTTCATTTCAAAACGTGCACACCTGGGATGGGGTTCACACTTCAGTCTCCACCGCCCTCGGGAACCTCCTTCCTCACTGGAGGAGACACGGACACAGCCAACCTACAGGGGGACATGAGTCCCCCAACGGGGACTGGACATGGCAGCTGAGGTGGGGGAGCCCCAGGGAAGGAGCCGCGAGTGGGACTGGGAGAGGAGGAAGGCCCCACCAAGCACGGGGCCATGGAGCGGGACCCCACACCAGATGGAGGAGGCCGTTGCCCGCACACAGGTGGCACAAGGACAGTTCCGGCAGTGGCGTGCCACAGACAGGCGCCAGGGGCTCACTGGGGACCCTGCACCCGGCAGGTGGTGAATGACTGTGGTGGGAGGGTACCCGAGGGGGTGAGGCGAGTGCAGTGGCCAGCAAGGCTGGAGAAGGCAGGCCTCAGATATCAATAGGGCCCCTGTCCGTGCAACCGGCATGCCCAAACCCTGGCTGAGGAAGGCCCCATGCCCCCCTCTGTCACCCACCCTGCAAAACCAACCGCAGGGCCATGCCTGGGGCCCGGGGGGAGGGGGCCCAGCAAAGGGGCTGTTCCTGTGGGCACCCAGGGCACCAGGACGGAGGGCCTGAAAGAGGGGGTGGCAGGCAAGGCCAGTCAGCCAGGCAGACCCTGAGGCTGGTCCCCAGGCCGTGGGGCCCGCCACCCGGGGCTGGGCACTTTCTCCATGGCTGCAGGGCTGTGCAGAAGCCGTGGCAGGCCAAGACCGACATCGCTTTCCCCTCGGGGGGCTGTCCTCGGAGCCCAGTCGGCAGTTGTCTGTGGGAGTCGCCTGGCTGGGGGTCGGGGCCCATGCGGCGGTAGCACGCATGGAGGGTCATCTCTGGGACCTCTGCAGCACTGAAGAGCAAACCAGTCTCCTCTCTCAAAGGGCCCTGGGTTCAGCAGGTACCTAATAAGGACTGTCTGACTGGCGCCCACAGGCCCCAGGGTGGAATTGTGGGACTGAGGAGGCTTGGTCGAGGTCGAGGGAGGCTGAGACTACATACTGCCTTGCTTCAACTAGACGGAAGACAGCGCTGTGGACAGACACACTTCCTCTTGGGAGGACGAGAGGAGCCTGATGTCCTGGATTCTCAACCCCATCGGACACTGGGTGACTCTGGAAACAAAGAGCATCAGCCAATGGCCCTGCAGAAGACTTAGGCCATCAGCGGGCCTAAACCAACTCAAACCAATTCCTGCTCTCTGCGGAACGTGGGGCTGTGGTTTCCCAGGGCATCCCCTTACTCTCTCGTTTCCCTCCCGCCAAGCGGTCAAATCCCTTTGTATTTGTCATCAGCTGAGCTCACGAGCTAGCAGAGGCCCCAGCAGAGTGCCTCGTCCTGCACGACCCCACCCAAGTCATGAGCAGGCCCCAGTGACACTGCTGAGGGAGAATGGCAGGTACTGAGGGGCCCCTGTGGGGGACAGGCCCTCAGGTCCCTGAGCACTTCCCCAGGTGACATGGGATCTCGGGGGGCAGGGGCCATGGTACGGCAGGCTGTGGGGCTGGGGCAGGCATGTGGAGCCACGCAGGAAGCAGCCTGGGCCCAGAGGCACCCGGACCCCCTCTGTGTCATGCTGCTGCACGTGCACACACACAGAGACAGAGGTAAACGCCACGTGCACACTCAGACCTGGCCCTGCTTCTCAGAGCTGCACTGAGTCCCAGAGTGGAGAAAGGGCTGACCTGAGCTCCCGAGCTCGTGCAAGCCCAGCTCCACCACCCGCAGCCCAGAGCCAGGTGCATCGCCACTTGCCAGCTACCACTCCACGGCCGTACTTCTCCCCTTCCCGACGCAAGGCCTCAAGCTGAGCGGGGGTCATCCCCAGCCTGTCCACCAGCAGCTTCCTCCAGGTGGCATCTTCCCAGTCCCTGATGGCAATGTGGATGGCAATGGTACAGCTGCAGTAGCCACTCAGCAGCGGATGCCTGCGTGTCTCCACCGTCTTGACCCCGTTTAATACAAAACCTGCATAAGGCTGCTGGAAGGACAGGCAGCCGAACGTCATCTTCCCAGAGCTCCTCGGACCTCCCACGGCCTGCAGAAGCACAGAACTGTGGATGTCAACAAGCATCGTCCAGCAGCCCTCCAAGCTCACGGCCCATGGGCCTGACCTCTCTCCAACGTCCCCCAGGTGCCTGAAACCCCACTGACCAGGACAGCGGTGGAGCGGTGAGGGTCGGCTCTATAAATGACATTTCTGCTCCCTGGCTCATTTGTTAACCCCCAATTCCCTGAGCTTTTGCTTGCTGGATGTCACTGCATTAGCCGTGGGGCACTAGGTAAGCAGGAGAACAACCCATGCACCTACCTAAGAGTGATAGTCTAGGAGCTGCTGGCCTATGAGGAAGGTGGGAGGTGTGCCCAGGACCTACAGAACCTTTAGTAAAGGAAGGGGTGAGCAGGCGCAGCTGCAGAGGAGGGTGTGCAGTCCCCATGCCCCGAGCTGGGCCATCTGCAGCTTCGGGTGCTGCCCTTCCTCCTGTGGGATCCAGTGCAGTGAGGCTGCGTGGGAGCAGAGGCAGACTGGCAGATGGTGAGCTGTAGGTGTGAGAGGCTAGTCTGAAATGCAACGTTGCTCTGATTAGTCCCTTTTGGGTCTTGGGCAAACCTGGTGAGGTCTCCTCGGGGGGCAGCAAGGGGGGTGCCCTGGGCTCTCACCCCAATGCCATTGAAGACACTGCCTGCCACCCTAGGTGTTGCATATCCATCATCTACAAGCATTTCTGGAGGTATAAGGGTCCCTTGAACAGATGCCCAGAAATCAGTGCTGCACCGTCTTCTCCCTGGCCTGGGAGGGCGAGTACTGAGTCTCTGGAAATGACAGTGTTATCAGTGACTCAGAGTTCCCTTTGACCCATGGTAAGCAAGGGTAGAGGTCCATGGAGATGAGATGAATGAAAATAGGTGATTTGAATGAAGAGAAGCTGCCCAAGAGGAAAGAAGTGGGAGTCTGACTTCCGTTCTGGGAGCCTGTAGGATGTTGCTCCAGCTGGGGAAGTGACCTGGCCCTGCAAAGTGAGTAAAATATCCTCCGGGAGGAAGGTGGGCAGAGCTGCAATTTGGGGTGAGTACATGTTCAGTGGCCAGTTGAGCGGCAGCTACCCCAAGGTGTCATGGGAAGAAATCCTTTCCCGAGGAGCAGGTGTTAGAGGCTGGGGTCCCAAGAAGACGAGAAAGCACCACCCCTAGGTAAAGAGCCCATCTGTGCCGTGGTCCGTGTGTTCAGCTCGGGCACAAGTGTGTGGGCCCACAGCAGTGACTGTCAGGTTAAGAGTGTGACCTTGTGTGGAAAGCAGGGCCTGCTGAGCTATTGGAGGTTATTGCCCTGGGAAGTGCAATAGGGGCCCTGGAGGGAAGGGGGCATCCCCCCCTGCTGAGATGCAGCGAATAATGTGAATCTTAGATGTGAGCCTGGACTTGAAGGACCTGCCACAGAAGATGGGCATGTGTGTCCTAACAAACAGGCACAGCTGCGTGTGCAGGGCATCTACTGTGCAATGGTGAATCGGATGGACATCAAGTGCTCGTGCACATCTGGGTAGTTCTGTGCACACATACAGCCATTGGAGAAACTGTGTAGCTCCACATGTATCAGTACAAATCTACATCGTTGTGTGTAAGAGTGTATGTATGACAACGTGTGGATGCATATATGTGTGTGCACGCATATGAAAGTGTATGACTTAGTGGCTTTTCTGTGTGTGTGTTTGTGTGTTCTCATGTGGATGTATTTTGTGTGTGTGTATAGTGCATGTGTGCCTAAATAACTCCGTGTTTATTTATCTGATTTGAGTGGGTATGAAAGGAAATACACCTGAAAGCATATGTATTTCCTGTCGATGGCTCTTCTAGAACCACCACATTCCCTTGGCCTGTTCCCACATACATGGGGGGGCCCGATTGGCCAGGCTGGTTAACTGTTTCTCTCCAATTCCTCTTCCAGGGAGCAGTGTCCCCCAGTCCCCATCCGCTCCGCTCCTCTTCCCTCTACCCACCTGTGCTGTCTCCTGGATACAAGACACAGGAGGGAATGTAGTCCTAAGAAGTGATCATTTAGTGCCTTGAGGTAGAAAGCGCTCAACGGCCTGGTAAGCTGGGAGCACACAGCATTTTGCTGTGTCCTGGAAAGACATGTTTGGGAATAACAAAAGCAGGGGTGGGGAGCCTTGAAGCTGCATCGGGAATAGAACTGTGATAGAGACCATGCAGTGGGAGACACATTGTGTGTAGCCTTTATAGCTCAGTCCCTTAGTGCAGCCACCTTGGAAGCCAGAGCAGCTGCAAGCAGGGTGGCAGATGTGAGGGCCTGATCCAAGGAATTGGCTGTGGGCAGCAGAAGGGAGAGAACCGAAGGTGCTTGGGAGGCAGCTGCAGGCACGGCTGTGGTGGGGGGCCTACGTGGGGCCACTTTTGTAGCCCATCCCACAATGGCCGCTGGCTGAACTTCAGCCTTAGGTTTGGAGTCCAAACTCCCTTCTTCCAGCCCTTCCAAGGGAAGAGATGGTCAGAGGGGTGAGAGGGCAGACCAAGGAGAGCCTACATCAGCCCAACGTGTGGTCTCTCTTGTATACACAGCATGCAAGTAGAGCCTCCTACACTCACGCCCACAGAGCTGCACCGCCACCCATCTGTGTATGCACACGTGGGCACTCATCCTCAGCAGCACATCCATCTATACACACACGTGCACCAGCACTCACATACAGCCATGCATACATCCACATGCACGGCTGCACACTTATTCTATTCACACACACGTACACACACATACGCACATCATGGTAGACAGCTAAAAACGAAAGTTACTGATGGAACGTCTAAGATGGCTTCTTTCTTTCTGGACATCACACACAGAAAGATTCAGGTTGTGGAGAGAGCAGTGACCCCACATGTGAACCTCCCGTCATGGCTACTGAAGAGCTTGCTTCCTGGGGCCCAAACATTAGTTGGTTGATTTGGACTTGGGTGTCCAACACTCTGGAGGGCCTTTGGGCCCCGTAGGACACAGCAGTTCATTTGTGGTAATGTCAAACAGAAAGACTGGAACAGTGGGGACAAAAAGGGCTTTTAAGGCGTGCCCGGCAGCAGTGTGCCAGAAAGCTGCGGAGCACGGGGGAGGGGCAAAGAGGCCAGCTGTGCATGCCTGTGTAGACCTGCACAGCTAGACACATTACCATACCTTCACAGGAGCGTCTTGCCCTAACATGCTGCAATGAGAGCGGCTGACTCCGCTGCGACTCGCACCATGTGAAGTGCAGTGTCAAGATGAGGTAGAGGTTTGGCAATGACACCTTTCCACAAACTTGAACCTTCTGAGTTTGCCATGGCCTTGGTCATGTTAGCCTGAGAATTGCCAGATCTCCCCTTACCGTGGTGTGTGTGTTCGGTCGGCCTCAGTATTGTAGTTGAGCCCCATCCCCAGTGGTCCTCAGCTGAGCAGGCACCCCCTCCCCCAGCTAGCTGCCTACACCCCCTCCCACTCCTCACCCCACACCAAGTGACTGGATGTGCAGAGCACAAGGGGGGCGCTCCTGGGGCTCCGCCCACGGCACCTTTCTCAGCCCCAGCCCCTCAGAAGGTGCTTGTGGCAGCAGATCGCTAGGAGCCTGGGCAGAGGGAAGGGTCTTGCTGAGTCGGGGATGGAGCAACCCCCATTTTACTCCTCTACCCATCTTCCCTTTCCTTTCCTCACAAGGGCTATCCCATTAAGGGCTTTCCCCCTGGAACCCCTCCTCCACCGCTCCCGCAGAAAGGACACCCTGGGTCTCTCCAAAGCATGATTTTGTTGTGAAGCTGTGGGGCATGTTTCCTACAGAGTTCTTGCCTGTACCACCTGCCGCGGCGGGGTGCCTTTGCAGAGATAATGGACAATCTGTTGGGTCTTCCTGGAGCCTGTCAAATGTGTTCTTAAAATCGCCATCAGCTTGTCAATAGCAAGGCCGCAAAGTCGTTGCATACTTAGAGCTGCGTTTTCCTGAGACTGGCTATTCCCAATGAGGTTTCCTTATTGTGCACATAAAAAAGCCAACCCTTTAAGCTATGCATTCACTAAGCTTCCCACCTGCATGGCGCTGTGCTGTGGCGGCACGCAACACAGGAAACTGTGGCTTGTCCTACTGAGAGTGCAGTCTGCTCGTGGTTGTTGTATCGTGTCCTGTGATCAATATGAAATCTCTGTGATCTGTGTTGGGTTTGGGGGGATGTTACAGTGTCTCCCTGATATACTTCAATTAGGAAATAGCCTCAGTTGGTCAGGGTCACCTCTGCTGACATAGCATGTATACGACTTTGAGGTCAGCAGTCCTCAGCGGAACCGAAGGCAATTCTTCAGAGGGTAGCTGAGGCAGTGCCATCCTGCAGACAGATGACATACGGTACAGCCAGACACACGCAGGTCTTTGGGAGTGGAGCTGGGCCCAGGCAGTGAAAACCAAGAGAGGAGGAGAAGGACCAAGACCCACGTGTCCTGGATGGCCTGACCCGCAAAGGGCACAGAGCAGGAGATAACCCCCAGGATGGCCCAGTGCCCAATTTGTCCTCGTTAAATGTACATTTTTGCATGAAAAGGACCTTGACCAGTCCTGAGGTCAAAAAGGAAAACGTGAAGAAACATAAAATTATGCTTCTGAAAAGTAGGCTGAAATAAACATTTGTAAATAGCCAAAAGAAGAAAATAAATGCACTTAATGGTAAATAAACTTATGGTCATTGTGTTTCCTCTCTGTTGGGTTGAGAGGGAGCCCCACCTGGATCCAGTGAGCCTTGGGCTTCCATCACTCACCTTTGCTTGCTCGTGGCTGTGCACATCGATCTCCTCATGCCCTGGGACATTTGAGTCGTGGTTTTCAAGTGGAGGGGGAGTGGTAATGTTGCAGCTGAAATTAACTTCAAGTTTGCACAAGCCATTCTAATCACTTGAAACAAAAATCTTAAAATGTCAAGCTATAGTGTCAAAATACAATATAGACATATCCATCTGGGGGAGGGAAAGGTCTTCATAAAGAA